TGGGTATTTCCCTTCTCTCATGTTGACTAGGTAAAGTAGAATTTCCCTTGAGAACAAAAAGCTCTGGAAATATTTCAAAATGGTTACTTTTACCCTCCCCCTGCTGAAAGTGCAAGAGAATTTTTCACTGACCTTCACCTTGAGAACGTGGTGAGGTTTCTAGAGGTAAAACTCACAAAATTGGGGAGGTTGGGAGGTTGTTCCCCTAAGGCTGGGCTCCCAGGAATTTTTAACTCCTAAGTCAGTCCACACTCAGCCTTCAGTCAGAGTTCCATCAATTATAGTTTAAGTTTTCTTACCAGATCCTAGCTCCAAGAGTTTCTGTTCCCAGTAAGCTGTGGTTCTCTTTCTTCACCTCTCCCTCCACTTGTCAGGGCATTGATTTGCCCTGTGATTTCAATTATGTGACAAATCTTAGAAGAGTTTTTGATTTTCAGTTTGTTCTGAACAAGCCTTTTCTTGTTGCGAGGATGAGAGTAACAACTTCCAAACTCTTTACATGTCAAAGAGGAAACCAGAAAATCTCCACAATATTGTTTTTCATTGTTCATCAGCATGTCTTTTTCCCACTTGAATGTGAAATATTTGTGAGAGCGGAAACCATAGTCCTTTTATCCCTGGATTCCTAGTACCCTGCACAGCGTCAGAATTCTTCAGGGCTCAATCATGGACCTTCTTATCTGCTCTTCTTCACACACTCTCTAAGTCATCCTATCTATTCATCTAGCTTTAACACTAAAAGTTATAACTCTAGCCAATCCATATCTCTCCTTCAAAGTTGGCTAATTTATAACATCTGAAACATAAAAAGTTTAAAACTTATATTTTAGTTGTTAGTCCAACCTATTCATCCTTTCCTTGTCTTCATCAGTTAATGGCATCACCACCCAATTAGTTCTTCCAATCAGAAATCTGGCAGTCATCTTTGGCTCTTTTCTCTTCCTTACTAACTTCCTCCATATCTACTACACTAAAAAAAATCCTGTCATTTCAACCTCCAAATATATCCCCAATCCACTCCTCTCCATCTTCACTCTAATCAACCTGGTCCAAGTCATCTTCATCTCTAGCAAGTCTTTCATAAAAGCCTCCTCATTGTTCTATCCACTTCTAGTCTCACTCACCCTACTCATTGAGCAGCCAGATTGATCTTTACACATAAATTTAATCATGCCAATCCCATGTTTAAAAGTTTCCAATTATCTTCTTTTTTTACTGAGACTCAGATCCTTTTATACTGAGACTCAGACGTATCATTCTTTATAAAAACACTGCCCTATCTGAGTCCTACCTCTGGAATCTCATATCCTGCCATACTCCATTTTGTCCACTATATTATAGTCACACTGGTCTTCCTTGTCTCTCAAACCCTTCTCTACTTAAAAACTTTCACAAATGATGTTCCCTATGCTTAAAAAATACTCTTTCTCTTAGCATTTTTTCCTATTAAAAGACCTCATAATCAAAGAGGATTACTATATTAAGTGGCCATTTGATTCTCATGATTAAAATTTTAGATTTTTCCAGTTTTTCAAAAGTGTAATTTTTATTATGTCCCAACATGAATAAAATTGTTATTACATGAAAATTCAAAACAAACTAATCCAACTGACTGGTTTAATTAATCTGTATTTTAAAACTTTCTAACTTACCTTTGATATTATGCTAGATGTTGGGAATGCAAGTTAAATTAACAGTTGTATTACAAAGAATTTAACAGTTTTTTTCCTAGTATGCCCATCCTTAATTACCCAGGGACTTGTTTTACACTTTATATATAACCTATATTACATTGCCTTTAGAGAAACTTTCCCTCATTTTGATGCTGAGGCAAAAATAGTTTAAAAAAAAAAAGAAAGAAAGAAAAAGTAAAATTAAAATTATTTAATTTGTATATTAAGGAATTTCTGCAAAGGTTGAATGAGCTGATAATTGACACAAATAGCTCAATTGATTTTCTATGCCTTAAAACTTACGGAAAGTCAAAGTTGGACCACTGTTCTACTTATACCTACAGTTTCACATGAATTACCAATATCAAAATTAGTAAATCTTCCTGTTATATTAAAGAACTATGAAATACACAAACTCCAAAATGCAGATTCAAGAAACCTACAATATTATAGCTTTGAATAACCACAAAATGGGATTTATATAAATTCATTAAAATGAAATTACTGTTCAGGAAATATTAGACTTTTAATATTATCTAATAGAATACTTAGTTATTCTACTAATGAAAATGTCTATACGGAGTATGAAGAAACATGAGTCCTATTTTTTATATATTAAATGAATACCTGGAATTCAGTTCTTAGAAATAATTTTATAAATGAATGAACAGAAAGTAAGCAGATAGGAAGTTATCCCAATCAAATGGTAGTCAAAGAGAGAAAAAAATTAGATGACTCAGAAAGAAGTCTTAGAACATGGAAAGATGAATTAAAAGAGAAGATTCACAAGTATCCTGGTTTTTGGATCAGAAAGATAAAAGGAAAGCTCCTGGAAAATTATATACCAAAAATCTTCAGCATAACAGGAATGTAAGATGAAAAAGGTAACTATTGAGAGAATCTATTAATTCTCAATTTTTCTTAAAGTAGGCTCCATGCCCAGTGTGGAGCCCAATGTGGGGCTTGAATTCATGACCCTGAGATCAAGACCTGAGCTGAAATCAAGAGTTGGACACTCAACTGACTGAGCCACCCAGGTGCCCCTAATTCTGAATTTTTAAAACTGCATAAATCACAGATCAACAACAAGAATGAGTTGCCCAAGATACTTTAATGGAAATAGTACCTATTAAACAAGAATTAGTTTTTAAAACATCCAAAAGTACTGGTCTTTTCTCCTATCATCTTCCTATCCAAAAACCAAAGCAAACTGAATTATATTTATTATTGAAGTAAAGCTATTTCTTTTCAAGATTGCCTTGATCTTTGATTATGCCAATCAAATGTCACTTTATTTCAATAATTAGACATCACTTTTTAAAGTTATTATCTATTTTATTTAACGCACATTGTAATCTACTAAATAATATAACTTAATCTTGATTACTTTCTGAAACTTACAAATAAGACACATAACTGAAGTCATTTAATACTGAGGCAAATTTGCATCTAATTATATTTTGATAGTAATTTTACTATTTTATGACGTTTCAGTGCCTAAGAGAAAATCAGCAACATAATGACATGGTATGCCATTTTAACACAAATTTTTATTAGAAAAGAGCTTATTAAATTCATTTCTATTCCTTGTAGCACAGTATTCTTATACTATAAAAGGATAAAACATGTAAAATCAGTTGTGAAGAAAGGTTTGCTGAGTTCCTCCTACAGAATGCTATCAAGCATTCTGCTAGATGCCAAAGATAAAACAGTAGATAGGACAAAACAGGTCTTGACTTAACCTAGATTAAATACAGCAACAGTTCCCATTTTAGAGCTACATATACAGTAGACCCCCCACCCCCAAGCCTCACCCTCAGTTTCACTTTCTGTGCTTCCAGTGACCCGTGATCCACTGGGGTCTGGAAGAAGAGGATCCTCCTGCCATATCCTCAGAAGATCAATAGTAGCGTAACACTATGTCACAGGACCTCTCTCATTCCCCTCACTTTATCTCATCATGTAGGCACTTAATCATCTCACATCATCACAAGAAGAAGAGTGAATATTGTACAAGATATCTTGAGAGAGAGAATCCACCTTTACATAACTTTTATTACAGCATATTATAATTGTTCTATTTTATTATTAGTTATTGTTGTTTATCTCTTACTGTACCTAATGTATAAAGTAAACTTTATCATAGTTATGTATGTATAGGAAAAAAAAAAAAAAAAACAGTAAATATGGCGATTATGTGCCGGCCGCTGTTTCAGGCATCCAGTGGGGGTCTTGGAACATATATGCAGATGGGGGTGAAGGGGACTACTCTAAACTATTAGAAGTAGTATACTACAACATAATTTTAGGTTGGTTAAAACTAAAACACTGACAAAATTTAAAATAAAATGCATACAAGGTAGTATAAAATGAATGAGCAGATTACCCTCAGCCATAACAAGACGTTTATCCTCTAGTTTGCATTAAAGGCAAACATCAAAGTTTCTCTGAATATTTCAACTTAGGGCTCCTATAGTAGTCATTCTCATCCTCTCCTAGAGTTCATGTCACTTCTCAATCTGAGCATCCCTACAACCAAACCATCTTTTCCAAAGCCAGAGCTCCCACTTTAAAAAAGCATAGAGGCTGAGTGGTAAGACTGCGTTGGAGTAAGACGACAGTTATCATGGAGAGATTAGAATTTAAATATATACAATCTTTCTCACATTCTCAAAGTTACTTCCACTTCAAAATATAAATAATATTACTTGCACAGAGTTAAAAAAAAGATGTGTGAACAATTTTTTAAAGAATGTTTTCTATTCTACGAAAAACTAAAATAAATGGAATTGACTTTTTTTAATGTTTCAGGTCAATGTGAGAATAAATTGCTGCATTTCCCAAATTATGTTGATAACTTAATGAAATGTTCAATGAAAACAGGACTCAGTGGTCAAATATGTTTAGTAAACACTCAATGTTCTAACCCCTTTGGAGCATTTTTAGACACTCAGAAGTATTACAATAAAGAAAATTTCTTGACCTTTTTTTTAAAAGAACCTTTCCAAAACTATTTGACCAAAGACTGAATTGGGGGGTTAATATTTCTTAATGTCCTCTGAATTATTTTTGAAAGAAACACACTTTAGAATATATTGCATAATTGGAGAAAGGGGAGAATTACCTCTCTTCGTTTTTACTACCTTATAAATTATCCTGTCTTCTTTTTAGATTTCCATGATAATTAAAGATGAAAGTATCAAACTCATAACCTAACAATTTTTGTTTCTGAGGAATAATATTCCAAGGGCAGCATTTTAATACATACTCTTCAGTATGTTATGCTATCAGAGATAATATTTAGTCTGTACAGATCAGCTTACTTACGTCTGGGGCTCCTTTTCATTTTGTTGTTTTTGCTGGGGCTGAAGAACGTTATTTACCAGTTCAGTGATCCCACTAAAGGGAAACCACCTGTTTAAATAAGCAAATAATGTGACTGAATAACCAAATGAATAACAACGTAGGTCAAATGTTTTCTTATCCATAATAATAAAAATACACAGGCACAAAAGCTACAGCCAATGGAAATGTGAGCTCCCATTATCATCAGGCAGTCAGAAAGTACGGAAATTAAGTTTGAACACTTAACCAGTCCACAAGCAGGCAGCAAAAAACTACATCCAGTCAGTGTGTGGATGAAGTAAGAAGCTGCAGGCAGCTCTCTTACAAGCCAGAGAGTCAGAAAGCAGAAGACACACTAGCTGCAGCCTATCCAGTATTAGTGTAAGCTAATACCATCCAAGGTGCAGAAAGCAGAATACGGCAAAGGTACAGAAATCAAGCCTACTGCACTCTTAATACATTTACTTACTGTGTCGGCTGTGGTTTGTGTTCTTCTTTGACCCTAAAAAGATAAGTTTGCACAACTGAGTGCACTGTACTGAGAAAAAATGTCTATCTACAATTTGTGGTCATATAAAAATAAAAAATGAGGTTTGTTACATTGAAAAGGTTAGTGCTTTGCTACTCGGAATTATACATTTAAACTAAGCTAACACAAAAAAAGAGAAGTTGAATCACTTGTTCTGAATAAAGGACTGATATTAAAACTCTACTACTGTTTTAATGATTCCATGATTTAGTCCTCAAGTTCTCTGCATATTTTTATTAATATTGATAGTGAAGCTTTTAAAATATTTATTTTAAAGTACCATATTAAACACAGCTACATTTGTTTTACTGAAGATAAATCGATTTCCTCTTTATTTTTTAAAATTCTTCCTTAATATAAATTGAAGGCCTAAATATTTTAAATAAAATGTATAGTTCTATAAATGTATTTTAAAAGCCTTATAAATGAGTTTATTTATTGCTTAAAAGAGCAGATAAAAGAATTGGGGTTATGTATTCAATCTACCTAAAAATAACTACTAAAATAACTATGTATATTAAATTTTAAATATTTATAAGCTAAAGTAAATTACTCATATAAGATAACAGACTAAAAATGCATTTAAACTATAATCAACTCAGTGCTTCACTGAAATAGCACTGGATATTTACAAGGCAGAGAAAGATCATACCCAAGGGTATTGGATTCCTCTGATATTTGGCTTCCCACACTTTACCTAGGACCAGTCCTGAGAGGTAAACTTATGATTCAATGATCAGTTCATCAGCTTTTACTTTCCCAAAGAAAAGCTAAGGATTGGTAACTAAAATTCACCACCAAAATCTAGGACTTCCATAAGGAAATTATATTAACACTGTGCATTAAATACTTTTTAGATCAAATTGATTTTCTTTTCCAGTGTGCTCTTATTTATAATGATAAAAGCAATAAATGAAAAGGTATACCCTTATACATTTTTGTGTCCCAATAGATAAATATAATTGGTAATTACGTATCTCTATATTAAACCAAAAAGGAATATCTTGTGTTCTCTGAATAAACTTCAAAAAAGTGGAACAGTTTTATCCTAGAGTTAAAGCCACATCATTTAATACTTAAATATAGTCACATAGTGGATTAATAAAGACTGTATTTAGCACCAAATATCCTATCACCAAACAAACACCAAAAACTTAGAGTGACACACGGAGTCTATCCTGAAAACATATTGTATTTCCTACAGAATAAGATAAAAATCTCTTAACATTTCAAAACAAAATAGGTCCCAAACAGATAATGACAAAGAAAGATTACCATATCAGCTCATCAGAATGGAGAACAATGCAAGATTACCCTTCACCAAATGATATGTATGTTAAAAACAATAAATATTTAAATAAATAAATAAATAAATAAATATTGAAATAAATATGTAAATGAGGAAACAATATTGTTAAAGAATTCTTGGGTGATCTCTGCAAGGGATCATGTTGCTATTTTAATTAGTGACAAAGTTTTCATCATAAACAAATTGATATTAATCTACCAATCAGTTCCTAATTTCAAAATCTTTACTTGAAAAATTAACAGACATAAAAATGTTAATTACCAATTCAGGAAGTATTTCTGGGCATTGTAAAATATCTATATGTGAAATATACAAACATTTATATCAGCTTCCCAAATAAAATATGTATCATCGCTTCTCGGCCTTTTGGCTAAGATCAAGTGCAATAAAATATGTATCATAATAAGGCAGTTAAAATATTTATCCTGTCAGGTGGCCAACAGACATATGAAAAGATGTTCATCATCACTTACTCTCAGGATAATGCAAATCAAACTACAATGAGTTATCCCCTCACACCTATCAGAATGGCTATAATCAACAACACAAGAGACAACAGGTGCTGGTGAGGATGTGGAGAAAAAGGAACACTTGTGCACTGTTGGGAATGTAAACTGGTGCAGCCACTCTGGAAAACAGTATGGAAGTTCCTCAAAAAATTAAAAAAGATAACTACCCTATGATCCAGCAGTCACACTACTGGGTATTTACCCAAAGAATATAAAAAACACTAAGCTCAAAGGGACACATGCACCCTGATGTTTATAGCAGCATTGTCTACAACAGCCAAATTATGGAAGCAGCCCAAGTGTCCATTAATAGATGAATGGAAAAAGAATATGTGGTATATATACAATGGAATATTATTCAGCCATAAAAAAGAATGAAATCTTGCCATTTGCAATGACATGAATGTGCTAGAGAGTATAATGCTAAACAAAAGTCAATCAGAAAAAGACAAAAACCATATGATTTCACTCATATGTGGAATTTAAGAAACAAAACAAATGAGCAAAAGACAAAGAGAAAGAGAGAAACCAAGAAACAAGCTCTTAACTATAGACAACAAACTGATGGTTACCAGAGGGGAGGTTGATGGGGGAATAGGTTAAATGGGTGATGGGGATTAAGGAGTACACTTGTTGTGATGAGCACCGGGTGATGTATGGAATTGTTGAATCACTGTATTTTACACCTGAAACTAACAAAACACTATATTAAAAAAATTTACCCTGTCTTTAAATACAATCAAGAGTATAAAATTATTCTCCTTTTTTCCTAATATTTTAAATAAAATCAAACCTCAAAATGTCTGGACATAATTAAAATTCATGATGAGATCATTTAAGAACTGGTAATATGAAAAAGTAATCATATATATTTCTTTTACAATATACTAACATTATTAACAATGAACACCTACATTCCTGCATTCCAAAAAGTGTGTGAGGGGCTTCCAGTTTCCAGTCTGATACATAAAAAACTTAGAAATCATCACTTCCATCCTTACAACAAGCAGAAAGGTGAATGAACTGAAAATCAACAACTCTTCTTAGAGCCATCAAAGAATTTAGGTTACCAGATAAACTGTTGCCCTGAAAATGAAAGAAACAGACAAATAGATACAGACTATCACATTTTACCAAAAGTACGAGCCAAGGGGCAGAAGACCACACCTGAAGCTACTATCTGTAGAAATATTTTTAACTATAACTGACCAATAACTAGAGACTCAGTGTGGACTGGGTTGAGAGTTTAAAATTCCAAAGGGTCCCAGTCTTAGTTTTGCCACCACATTTCCATAAATTTTATCTCCAGGAGCCCTACCAGTTGCTCACTGTGAAAATCAAAGAAAAAAATCTCCTCCTACATCCAGCAGGAGAAGGGGAAAGTAACCATTATGAAATATTCCCAGAGCTCTCTACTCTCCTTACCAATCCTAAACTCAAGGGAAAATATTTTACCAAAGCCTAAATAATTGAGGTTCTACCAAAACCAAACAAGCCTGAAGAAGTTAATTACCTCTTCTAGCCTTTGATGTGGGAGAAAACACACACACACACACACACACACACACAAAACTATACCCCCTCTAGCCTTCAACATGGGGAAAGAGAAATACCTAACTCAGGCTCACCAAAAGACAGACTACAGAATGTTTCTCATATATCAACACCTAACCACCAAATCAATAGAGTTCCTGAAAAATGACGACATTAAACTAAAAGAACTACAAGCTTTAGACACTATTTAGTTGAAAGTCTCTAGGGAAACACAAGGGAAAGGAAGGAAGGAAAAGAAAGGAAAATATAAATAAAGACAATAGAGAAGATTCTGGGAGGATGATGGAGTAGAGAGCAATAGAAATCTGTCTCCCCACCTAGACAACAATGGCAAAATCTGTCCGATGTAACTATTTTGGAAATTTGGAGTCTAATGAAGGCTTTCAACTTCGGGAGAAGGCTTAAACAATACACTGCAGTTAATTTTGGTCAACTTGGGCTCTTAGCATAATATCAGCTACCCATTCCCACCTGCCAGACCCATAGCACACTGCTGTGCACCTGCTCCTGGAGCAACCTGCACACAGCTTGCAGGGGTCTGGATAGGTAAAAAGGACTCTGTCCTCCAAATATCAGTGATTTGTGCTTCAGATCATGGGCTATTGCTTCTTATCTCAGAGGTGCAGACAAAAAACTGGGTGGCTATTGTTGTTGCAACTCCTCACACTGTTGAAGCCCTTCCCCTTCTGGCTAAGGTGATTTCCAGGATATTTAAATGGCCAGCACATCCTACCCCCCACCCTGCTCTGTTTTTCAATTTTTCTCCCTTTGGGAGCCAGACATTAAAGACTGAAACATTCAAAAACAACTGCATGTATGAGAGAAAGTCAAGTCACTATACATGCCCAGAGAAAGGCCCAGGCATAGCAAAGACCTGAAAAGACCTTAAATTTATACCACAGGATAATCCTCAGCACAGAGACAGCCTACAATTAAATACACACACACACACAAAAAAAAAAAATAAACAAAAATAATAACAGAAAACAAGAAAACCCAGTGAAGGGAAAAAACCTGATTTCCAGAGTTACCACATTAGATTCAAATGTCCAATTATCAATTAAAAAAAAAATCCTAACACATACAAACAGGAAAGTATTACCCATTCAAAGGGAAAAAGGATGAATAGAAACTGTCCTTGAAAAAGACCTGACAGCAGATCAAAAAAAAACAAAGACTTTAAAACAACCATCTTAAAGAAGCTCAAAGAATTAAAGGAAGATGTGGGAAAAGTCAAGAAAATGTGTGAACAAAGTGGGAATATCAATAAAGAGATAGAAAACCTAAAAAAAATGAAGCAGGGTTTCTGGAGATGAAAGTACAATAACATAAAAAATTCACTAGAGGGATTCAAACTACAGACCAATACCCAAATACTACCCAAAGCAATGTACAGATTCAATGCAATCCCTATCAAAATCCCAATGTTTTTGGCAGAAAGACAAAAACCCATCCTAAATTCATACGGAATCAGAAGGCACCCTAAATAGCCAAAATAATCTTGGAAAAAAAAAAAAAGAACAAAGCTGGATGACTCACATATACTGATTTCAAAACTTACTACACAGCTATAGATAATCTGTGGTACTGGCATAAAGGCA